GGTGTTGCTTGATTCCCAGTAGCATGGCTTTCTTCCTGTATATATTGAATATCTACCAGTTTGTTGTTTACGTAACATAATGTATTGTAGCGTGGGACGGTATACAACCTTGATTGTCAACCCTGGATTATTCACGTCTGCTGCCCCGAATCTGATTTTCCGACTGAATGCTTGGTTGGATTGTAAGAGACCAATGTCCTCCAGCAATTATCAATTTAATCAAACTAAAACGTCTTTTACAACACAAAAATGATCTACTCTACAACACACTTCACCTACGAGCGATTCACAGCTCAGCTATCTTCGCACTTTCCTTCCACACTCTCAGTCGGCTTTTAAACGAATGCAACAATGTCTATGCAACAATGCCAATAAACAGACGCAACAATGTAAACACAACAATGTAAACAACAATGCTAAACGCAACAATGCTAAATGCAACAATGTCTATAAACAAACAACAATGTCAATAAAGAAACACAACAATGCCAGCCGCAACACGTCACAGTATATATCCCCTTGTAATAATGTTGTGAGTATTGCCAGTCTTAAAATGAAAGTAACTAATTTTGTTATTTTTGCCATGTTTACTATAGTGCAGATGGAAGTAAACACATTTTCCACATTAGTCAGTTGTACTTCTTGAAACAGTGAAACATTCATAAAAATCATTATCTTTATCACACAGTTTAACATTTTAGGTTTTTCTTCTTTTTTTGTTGGGGGGGGGGTGTTAACAGGACAGCTGTAGCAAGCAGGAGAACTGATTCCTTCATTTCACAACAGAAAATACAGAGAGTATAAAATCTCAATATAATTTTGTCACTTAACCAAAGTTAGAAGTTTGTGTTTAGTCAACCAACATAAGTATACGCCCATTGTACATATATTCCACCCACTTTCATCTGCAGGTATATGTACATGATTTCTCTAAAAGGGTTAAAAAAATCAAGTGATGACATACATTTCTAATTGTTATTTATGCGACTAGAACTATTTTTCAGATAATTTTTTCTTCCATTTTAGATGTCATGGCCAGATCTTTGAGCTCACTCAGGGTTTCTCATGGAGCTAGATCAGTAAAAATGAAACTCACCAATAAGAAGTCACCTTGCTTAACTTTTGAAATACAGTTGGTAAGTGGAGGATGGTTGAAAGGCATGGATACACAAAAGTAGCAGATGCTAAACAGTTCCAGTATTTTTGAAGTTGTAAGTGGCTAAGGGAAACGTGAATATTATTATGACTATTAGTAAGTGTGGCTTACGAGGCGAGGTATTTAATTCTCGATTAAGTACTCGTGTTAAATAACACTGATTGAAATATGGTGGGGCAGTTATGAATTCTGATGTATGACTTGAAATGTGTGTGTGTTGTACGGTTTCAGTCAGAATTGTCACATTCCCGGTTTTGTGTCCATGATATTCCAGTTACTGTAATACCTCGCAGGGAATGGATTATGCTACAAGAACCTCAGGTCACAAACTATAATGTAAGGATGAATATAGTTGTTCATTTTTCTTTATATTTACCATCTTTCTTGGTAGGATATATATATAAACATATTTTACATTGTAAATACTATAGTTATTCAGGTTGTAGCATTTAAAATTTAAAGTTTAAAATGGTAGAATAATGAAAAATATTAAACTTTTATTAAAACTATTTTAAGAGAAATAAAGAAACAATATGTTGACCGCATGAAATATCTTGATTTGTTGTTGAAGGTGTTGGTTCTTTTAGTTTAAACATAAAAATTTTATGGTGTTCAGTTATCGACAACCAAGGGTTAATCCTTCAAAACCCTAAAATCCATCAAGCAAATAATGAGTGCTTTCAGTAAGTTGTTAAGTTTTTCAAATGTTGTTTTGCCTTCATTGCATTCTATAGAGAAATGCTGTACATATCATAATTTTCAAGCTGTCAGAACAATGTTTGTGTTCAACAGGTGAGCATTCAGTTGCCAGGTCTGAAGCTCCTACGTACTATCGCAGAGAGAATGAAAGCCTTAAGTTCATATATTGTCTTGTTGGCCAATCGTGAAGGAACTTTAATCCTTAAGGTTGAAACACCAGAAGCTACAGTGTCTACACATTTTAAAAATCTCACCGTGGAAGACAGTGGAGGTACGTAAACAGAAAATTCTTAATACATTAGTTATGTGTCTTTAAAATGGCACTTTGGTAAAATTTCTTTGTATGCAGGAAACATGTCAATTGGGATAAGAATACTTTAAAATTTATGATGAAATAATGTTTGGGACAACTCAATTTGAATTTCGTAGGCAGAAGAAATTACCTGGCACCACATAAATGGGTTCTGCTATAGGAAGACAACCTCTTTCGTGAGTGTTAATTGGGTATTTGAATGAGCTGGAATCAATTTAACCCAATGACTCCCAAGAAATGTGATGTTATTTCATATTGTAAAAATCAAAAAAATTATAAATTCACTTCTTACAAAAGATTAATCCTTCTGATGATCAGATGCCTACAGTTTCAAGTGAGACTTTCACTAGATGTATTTTTAACAAAAGTTAATGATTCGCGGGACAAGAATTTTGCCATGTAGAGTGGTTCTTTGATATCCACACGGGTGATGACCATTAAAATGAGAGAGAAACAAACACTGCAAGAAAGAGACAGCGTGCTCCAACTTCCACTATTACTCACAAGAATACTAGTATTGGATCGTGTCAAATCACTGGATTATTCCTCGTGTTAGGCCTAGGATTATGTTTTTAGAATGCAGAATGTGGTCTTCACGCTCCCCGACAAGCTCGAGCAGCGACGTAGTTCACTGCAGATTTCACGCTTCTCCTCTGCATGTCCAATCGTACATTCAACACTTTGGCTTATAGACGTACTCAAATAGACGGTGAAAATCAATATTACACTTTTCAGAATCAGTGTGTCTGAACTGTTATCTATTTTCAGGAGATGAAGAAAATGATGAATTCTTCTCGGCTCGAGTGGATATCAAGAAGTTCGTTCAGTTCCTTATGAGTGAACAAGTTAACCCTAACAAGGTGCTATGCAAGATCGTAGATGATAAAATGGTGGCCATGTTCTTAGTACATGAAGACATTGTATTGCATTACTTTTTACCTGTAGTAGCTGTATAAAGGAAATGTTCATACTGTAATTTGTAACTATTTACAGAAGATTCTATAAACCAGTATTACTCGCCGTACGCCTTTTCCACATTAACTTCAAATACAAAACTTCCTTCATTTAGTTTATCATTGCACTCTTGAAAGTCAGATGAAGTACTAACCTGCAAATATTGCATCGTATGTGTAACGTGGGTCCCTCGTCACCATGGCGTGGGGCATCTTCAGGTTTTGGTTGGAGAAGAAGACCTCCAGATGTGGAGGTAGCCCCATATACAGTGCATTCCGGTTAATTGAGACACATCGAGACTAGAATACTTTGGCCCAATTATGCAAAGTTCCACGTAAAGAGTTAAAAAGCTTTGTTCTTTAAGATTTGTCCCCAAATGGCTGCCCCGATCAACCGATGGCCCAGTTAACCGGAATTTTCTGTATACTCCATAAGCAGTCACAACCATCGAGGGATGGTCCTCTGGCTCGTAGGTTGGGCTGGGTCTGACAACTTCCTGTCATAAAAAACAGATGTTGCAAAATATTACAAAGGGCCTTAGATGGGAAGGTAATAATTAAATGAATCTTAGGGAAATATGTTGGAGGGTGTGGATTGGATTCGTCTGGCTCAAAATAGGTACCAGTGACAGGCTCGTGTGAATTGGTAATAGACCTTTAGATTCCGTAAATGGCACGAAATTTTTGTCCAGCTGAATGTGCTGTTAACTTAACAAGAACATCTCTCCTCCATCGAGTTAGTTAATGTTTGACATTTCTTCAGTTTCAGAAGACCACAAATTGAATTCTAGTGTAGCGAATGACATGCTGACTGAGGTTTTAATGTTTTTTTCCTTAATCCCTGTAGGCTAGCCATTTGCTAACCTTCATGAACTAACAAAATACAACCAGTCACGGCGGCAATACTCAACTCATGCAATTTTTAGACGTTCACTGCTTTGAATAATGCAAATCCAGGGAGAAATGGTTGTGTCCAAGTCACTGACATGCCGTTCCCAAAATTGATGATTCAGTTATAATTTATTGGAAGACAGCAGTGATTATAGACCAAACAGTTATGAGTAGCAGAGAAAGAGATCAGGGCGATAAATCGCCCTGATGATGGAGGCAGTATAACCTCCGAAACGTTGGTTATCATCGACCAGACTACACAGCGCAATAACCCAGAAGACAGAAATCTTCATCGCCCTGATGAAGGAGGCAGTATGACCGCTGAAACGTTGGTTAACATCGACCAGACTATACAACGCAACAACCCAGAAGACAGAAATCTTCATCGCCCTGATGAAGGAGGCAGTATGACCGCTGAAACGTTGGTTAACATCGACCAGACTATACAACGCAACAACCCAGAAGACAGAAATCTTCATACTCACCGCTGTGAAAACCTCGAATCCTATAAAGCATATGAGTAACTGCAGAACTTGGATCTTTCCCGCGTATAGACTACAATGTCCAATCTGGAGGTCCACTGCCTTCAGGCATGTTCAGAAACTCTAAGTCTTACAGCCCGAATATCTTCATGAGAACATCACCAGTTATAGTTAACAAGGTTAAATTTGCGTTTTCCAGCTATTCGATTTGTTACTGTTAACAAAGATAGCAAAGTCATAACGTGTTATCATTAATTTAATGTCAGAATCTTATCATTTGTATTCTCTGTCAATTGAGCGTGAGAATTTCTCAAGGGAAATCCAATGTATTTTTATCGCGGGGGCTACACAGTGAACTGTGAAAGCCACAATGCGAACTATCTAGACTAATTCTCCAACAAAAAAATACAATAACTGATACCGTCATCTTTCTTTCATGATAATTGAGCAGAACAATCACAGTTTAGAACACTCGATCACTTGATTATAAGATCATTAATTTTCTAAAAAAAAACCTGCCTTATCACGAATTAAGACCGATTAGATTAAAGTGCTCTTGTAACCCCATAAAGTATAATCACAGGTGTTTGTACATTTATTTGCGGAACGAGAGAGGTGGAGTCTGTTTCGAAATGTTGCTTCAAGCGTTTTCTGTAATTCTTGGCGTAGTGAGTGTTCTTGGTAAGTGGGCCAAAGAGTGGAATTTCTTACAATTTGACTTATGACATCAGTTTTCCAAACTATATAGTGAGGGTAGCAATAAATATAAATGAACAGAGCGTTCATGTTAACCGTGTTAGTCCTGCTAACACTTTGAAAAAAAAATATAATCCGCCTTTTCGTGGTAAAATATTACTTAATACAATAAAACACAGAAGGATTAATCAGATGAAATTCGTCGTTAGTTAAGGCTCACTCTGGCCGCAACCCTGATTTCACAGGTTTATCCTGTGCCAGATAAATTCATCTCACATCCTGGTATCCTAGTCGTCTAGGGTTTCAGATTAAAATTCCGTATATATCGCAACTTTGTTAGTAAGATAAACAAAGAGATGCATTTTTCGTTTATCTTGGAAGTCTATGATTACTTCTAGGACGATTCTGGTGGTCCAGTATGATTTCGTGGTACAGACTAGTGACGGGTACTTATGAACACTAATGAACCTTTCGGTTCCATAAAGAAATAGCATTTTTGACAAACTGAGCGACTACTAGCTTCTTAACAAGGGCTTTGCAGAAGTATATAGACATGTTTCTCAGTATTATATCTCAGTAACACGAAACTAAATAAGATAGTGTAGTTGCGTCATATTGTGATTTATTAAATTAAAATTAAATTATTTGGTTATTCCGTCAAATCACAATGTATTTAAAATAAGATAATTAAAATAATTAAAATATCATTCTGTGTTCCATATCGAATAATCGATTTACAATTGGAACAGTTACAACATGTTTCGGTTTTATTAAACCATCATCAGGTGTAAAATTATATTAAATTTAAAACTCAATTACAATTTTTTACAATTTTTTTCGTAGTGTAGTTTTGGAGGTCGTGTCCAGATATCTAATATAATTTTACACCTGATGATGGTTTAATAAAACCGAAACATGTTGTAACTGTTCCAATTGTAAATCGATTATTCGATATGGAACACGAAATGATATTTTAATTATTTTAATTATCTTATTTTAAATACATTGTGATTTGACGGAATAACCAAATAATTTAATTTTAACGAAACTAAATGCTGAAAACAAATTAATACACTAACAAGTATGGAGAAAATAAATAACCAAGATGCAATTTTAAAAGAATTACTTGCCGTATTAAAAGATAAATACAGTGGAACCTCTATATATTTCGCCTCGTTATACCGCGGTTGTGATAAGGTCCCCCAATACGATTACATACGTTCTATGTTAGTTAAGTGTCAATTTCACATATAACGCGGGTGCTGAAGCTGTCCCCCTGAAACCCGCGTTATATCGAGGTGCCACTGTATAAAGCTGCATCACGCGATACTCATAAATTACAATTTCTATCGCGTTTACATAAATGAGTGATCTAACATTGGTGCATAATTTCCGCTAGTATAAAAGTCATTACGCGTAAACTGAAGGCAAAGCCTTACTTCTTATTCAGGTATGACTTCTCGTCAGATTTCGCGCGGTCACCATGTTCTTATTTCACATTTTAGAAACCCCAAACCCTATCAAGATTATCTATATATCTTCAGAATTCTTTCAGGATCCAAAATAAAACGGCGATAGTATTATCTACGATGTGCGTAGAATAATTGCTAAGAAGACTCCAATAGGACATCATTTTTTCTAAGTTTTACATTTCTCTGTCAGTTGCTTTAAAATTTCTTTACAGTAAAACGCACCCATGATTTATATAGACATAAATATTGTCTTGTTTTGCATTTTTCAACGCAGAAGACGTTTGTATTGTATTTTCCTCAGGTGCACCTCCAAGCATTCTCACGGCAAGTGAAAGGGTTGTTAATGGAACAGACGCTGATGCTGGCCAATTTCCTTTCATAGTGAGTACTCAAAAAACTGTGTACACATTATAATACGGAATATTAACCTTGTCAGTTGCTTCGCCGTCGTCAACTGTTCCACGAAGTTGACGATGGTCACTAGATTCGCTAATCAACTAGGTGCCAATGCTGACGTATGTAATGGTTTATTTTATTAAAAGTTCTTTATTTCATTCACTGAATATGTGTATATATATTTTTCTTTGACATGTTGTATAATTTAACAAAACTTATTTTAAAATATCCTATAGAAGGCTCCAGCCAGATACGATACTTCATTTGTGAGAATAATTAATTCAAATAATGAATCAACATATTTATTAAAGAAAACTATTGAGTAATATGTGGCCTTATTTGCGATAGGAAGCATTTTTAATAAATAAATCTTTTCGTGAGCATTTTATGAAGTTTCAATAAATTCTTCTCAGCTTCTCACGAATCGATATGAAATTATGAATGTGGTCCTATGTCATTAAGGATTGAAAACTCTTGCTCTAGTCAGTTAAGATGACATTTTTGCGTAAGGTTGCACCACCAAAATTTTGTAAGCACTTTGTGTTCCCGAGTGCTCATGATATTGTGACGTCATCCCATCTCTTTGCAGGCTTCTCTACAGTACCGTGGGCGTCACAGCTGTGGATCTTCCATTGTAAATAAATGCTACGTTGTCACAGCTTCTCACTGCGTTGATGGGTAAGTCAGCCATTTAAATGCCAAAAAACCGAGATGTATTGTTCAGGAACAGCACGCTGTACGTTTGTTGGCATCAGTTACGTGAAGATCAAATTCGAAATTTCCAGCAGCGTACCCGTAGTGTTATCGCGGAAAAATTTGTCAAGAGCTTACGTTTATTATCAATTTTTAATCGCCCGAAAGTTTATCATAGGCCAAATCATTCGTTAAGTATCTTTAAATATCATAGAAAGAATCATCCCTAATAAACATCTTCACCAAGAATCGAACCCAGGACAGTTTAAGGATTTGTTACCTTATTTCCTGTAATTTACTCACGGAAACAAACAGTTTTAAGAAAGATTTGGAATTCTCATGGCGATGAATACGAAGATTGCTGTCTTCTGATGGAGGCATCAAAGATATTTGAAACGTCGGTAAACTTCTACCAGACTACACGGAACAACAAACAACCCAGAAGACAGGAATCTTCTATAAACAGTTCCGTTCTTTACCTCGTTCTTCTATCGTGCTACCTCAGACCGTTTGTAGCTCTTGCCAAGATTTGAAACCGAATCTTTGTTAAATTTCTTGCGTAAAAAAACATATCTCTCTTTCACTATCCATAACAAAACTTTACACCTGTACCTTCACAGAACAACACCGGAGGACATCTCAGTGCTTGTTGGAACTGTTACCCTGAACGAAGGAGGAGTCACACACGCTGCAGAGGCCATCAAAATGCATGCCGGGTACAATCCGAATAACATGTACAAAGATGACATTGCTCTTGTTAAGGTAAGAAGGTTCCGAGTATAAGTGAGATCAGTCCTGTAAATCAACAGATCAAACGAAGAAAGAAAATGTTCCCAGCTTCACTACATGGACACTGCGCTAGTCAATAAATCTTAGAACAATCCATAATAACTGTCAGTGACAAAAACTTATTGTCATTAGTCAAATTACGTAAAATATAAAAAAGGCCTATTATCATGTCATTTTCTCCTTAAGAAATGATGAGAAGGGAAGTTGATCAGGGTCTTTGCGTTAATTATAATTTTTGATATTATCCTTGGTTTAGCGTAGGGGATTGGTCGATGTGACAGCCTGTGGACTGGATCCTCCGGGGTACCTAAAACGTACTGGTTGTGCTCTGTAGTGGGGACTACAAAAGAAAAGCTGAGGTTTACCTGCGTTTTTGTAGAAGGTGAAGGAATTTGAATGTGTTTCAGAACAATGTACAATACAGGCAATCCTCTGACCGTTTATTGAGCAAAAGGATTTGAGTATTCCGCAGGTTGGATTTGTGTCTAGCCTATTTTCTAATCCTTTAATGTAATTCTTGATCAATGGCATTCCGGTCTGTTCGTGCAGGGTATTAATACTGTTTAAATTACTGGCAGATATAGAATGAATCAGATGAAAAATGCCCAGTGGATGAACATAAACAAAATCCCACTAGAGTTGCTAGAATATAAACTGGGAAGAAAAATTAAGACCCCAATAAACAATGACAAGACCAATATGGAGAATAATAATAGGTCAAATGGTCTAAGCTGTATGTGGTACTGATGAACTTGTAATGTTGTCAGACCGGCGGTTCTGTCATGCAACACCTGCAGAAAGTAAATATAACAGTGTACAGTGACGCCGACTGCCAGTCCGTTCACGACAACACTGTTCACGACACCAACATCTGCGCAGGAGTTCCCGAGGGAGGCAAAGGTCAATGCAGTGTAAGTATCTCACACTTCAATGACTATTTCATCGCTGTGAACAGAGATGTCTACGGTTGCGTTCCTGCCAATCGCCGTTTAGGTTATATCAAAAACGCGTGAAACGGAAAATGTATAAATGACAAGTGAATTTTCTGATAGACACGTCATGATAGCCTTTATTTGTCCTCGGAGTCAAAATGGCGGGACGATTCAGTGTAACTGCTCGTACAGCTTTTACCTCGGCCGCGGATAAGACGCCGAAATGAATTGGGAGACATACGACAACGCGGACAGTGAAAGCGCATATAACAAAAGCACAGCGTGAGAGCGCACTCTGGTGGACAAAGGCCGCTCTCGACAAGTCAGTCTGTCCAACCCACAACGCCCAAGTTTGCTTATCGGTTGTGCTGTCTAAAGAACTCGCAAAAATTCTCTCTTTCATTGCATTGTTAATGACTCAAGAGTTTTCCTGGGCAAACTACGGTAATGAACTTATCCATTTGGGTATGTTTTGGTACATTTTTCACACGTTTCATAAAATAAATGTGTAATGGAAAACTACATAGCTTGCAAAATGTTGAAGAGTTACTTTCTTCAGAAATTCAACAGTGACAACTGACAACAATCTCGAAGTTGTTGATGATTTGATAGGTTTCAGACGATCAACTACGTAGATTACGAAATGATAGCCTAAACTTTAAATTTAAAAAAAGGAAAATGCTTTCTTAAAAGAGAACTCCGACATATGTACGAGCTGTTAACATCATCGCAAAAAAAAATCAATATTATTGTTATCTTTATTTCGTTGTATTTATAATTTTTGTCGTTCCAGTTTAGGTTTTTGTGGTGTATCAGCTAATGGCCTTTGGTAGCTGTTGCAACACAATTCTAACACCGAAATAAACCGAATTATTAAGCCATATGCTATCACTGCTATTTACAAGGGCACTGATATTGTTAACAGCGATTCTTTTTAGCTTTCGGGCATTTATAAAATTATTTATAGTTACTTCTTTTGTCTTCAATCTTCAGATTTGTACTGATGAACCCTGTTTTGTGTTATCGCTTGATTGTATCTGCTACCTGTAGATCTTACTTTGCTGTATTATTTGCTAATATCTGATTTCGATCAATGCTTGACTGTAATTGACGTCATTGGTGCTGTCAAGCAGTTGAATAAATTAACTGAATTATCGCGGGAATCATCTCATTGTGCATTTAAATTCGTCGACGTCAATTCTTTATCTGTGTTTACAAGTATTTCGCATTCCTAGTAAAGTAGAGCTCATGTGAGTGTTTCCTAAGAAAAAAAATACGAAATCTATTGTTACTTCTAGGGCGATTCTGGTGGTCCACTTATTGCCAACGGTCACCAGGTCGGCATCGTTTCCTGGTCCGTGAAACCTTGCACCGTCGCTCCTTATCCCGGAGTGTACACGGAGATAGCCCACTACGTGGACTGGATCAGAGAAAACACCGATGATGCATGTTAAGACAACGTAACAAAACAAACGATCAGCAGTTACCCAGAACTCTTCCCTCTTCACCTTCCCGAAAGCTGTATCGAATGTCACAATAAATAATAGACTTATGTCAACTTAAATTTACCTCACACTACATTAAAGGTAACCTTAGGTTGTGGTTTAGCGTTCTACCGAAGTCTCAAACCCTTCCTCCTGGAATTCGTCCACCAATAACCCAAAGGTCATTAGTACTAATTGCCACAAAGCAAACGATTACAGTTTACATACAAGATATTGCCTATTACATTACATTATAATGACTAAGATACTAGTACTCTACATTCTGCACGTATGGCTCAATTCCCTTATACCTACTTATATCAGCCACTAATATAATAACACACAGCTTAGCGCACTGTCCTTTACTCAGCGTGTATGGATCACTCACGTGAGCTGTACCACCAAATCGTTATTGCGAGCCGAAGGACCCAGATTTTCACGGACATTGGTTCCACGCAGTGGTTCTTCGTTTCGTAATGCTAGCGAACTACCTTCTGCTGCAGTCTACATTTGACTGACAAAAAGACGCCCGTAGCAATAGCCCACGGTCTTAACACTGCGTGACACAAAGTCAGCACTGCATTCCTATGTTAGCACAATCACTTGTCTCCTGATCCTTGACACTTACTATGTTAATTCCTTACTTGACTTATTTGATACCTATGGTTATCTACTGCCCGTTTAATATAATACGTTCATAAATGTACAAATATAATGTTATAAATTATTACGATGCAATGCGAGGTAGCTTACAAGAGAATAAAATTTAACGTTGTAGGGTTCAGAGATACAAGAAAAATAATCATAATAAATTAAATGTAAAAGGGAGAATAAAATCAGTAATATATAATTGGAAATAGGGTACGTAGGAGTAGAATTATATGGTACAAAAGGATAACAGCGCCAATAGATATAATAAGCTGTGAACCGTAAGAATCTGGTGTTTGGCAGATAACAGCGCCACTAGATATAATAAGTTGTGAACCGTAAGAATCTGGTGTTTGGCGGACTCAAGTATGTTTTTGAGACGGGTAGTACCATCCTGATGCTCGCCAGGGAGGTGAGCTCTGGCTTGCTGGTTGCAGAATGACTCCTACTAATGGTGGAAGAGGAAGTGTACAGACCCAGCCAAAAACATGAAACACTAGCTACACAGTAATGTTGTGCTACCTAACTATATACACGCCAGTGATTTAGCACAAGATATTTTGATTTGGAATAAAATCAGACTGACTGAACTTCCAATTTCCACTAAACACGGGCAGTGATCAACTGCTGCAATACAAACTACATGTATTATTATCAATCACTCACCACCCACAAACTGAAGTAAAGGGATGGGGTTGATTCAAGGCAAGCTCAGTGATATTCTTTCAACTACATTAATTACAGCTCATTCTCCTATCTGCTGTTATCAACAGCCTTTTATCTAGGACGTCAGCAAGACCATGAAGTTAATAACATAACAATACAGCAGTACATTGTAAAGATACTCACTATACGCTGAAGATTTTAGACATTATATATATCTGAAACATGTATTTCTTTGTCCATATAACTGGTGTCTATAAAATGAAATCAATTAAAATATGCACACAAACAGTAGAAATATAAATTGCTAATCAGTAATTCATCTTTTTTTTAGAGAGAAAACACAAAAGAGACTACAGTCCAGGACTGTAATCTTGAGACTTGCAGGGTGAGGAAGTGGGGTGAAGGAGGAAAGATAGCGTCTGCCTTTGACGCTTCGGACTTCCTGCATCCTTGCAAGTCTCAAGATTGTAATCGCGTACTGTATTATATTTTGTTTACACTTCATAGTTTTCTATTCTATTCAAACAAAAATTTAAGCATGGGATTCAAGATAGCCAAATTATTGAAATAAAAGAGTTAAAAATTAAGTAAAATAGGAATACTGCATAACCAATAGCTATAGTAATAATTCAATAATTTTAAATAATTAAAATTATACTATCTAAACTAACTGAAAAATCTATGGACAGTCTATAAAGAGTCTGCTTTCTGTTCATAGTAAAAGTTCAATGTTAAACACTTTTGTACCCAGAAACATTTTATCCAGCATACTTCAATGCAATATGTGACTGAATACAACAGTCTTGAAATTAAAAGAAAATGAAGTGGACACAGTGAAGCATCCCATGTTAAAATAAACAGGCCTCAAGGAATTAAGTAACAGCAACTTTTATGTTATGTTACACTCACTCGTTCATAGATCTCTCGTTTCTTGTAATAAGTCACTTGAATAACTCTAGCTGGGACACCTGATCGTTATCAGGATTCAAGCCAGATACCTCTGAAAACAAACCACTGCTATAGTAGTAACGTACCAGACTTGTCTGGTAATTAACAAAACGATTACCATCACGCTCATTACATTTCAACAATGTCAACATGTAACAACATTCACTCCAGAGTTCGATGTAATACTGAAAACTGTTCCTTTCGAAGGACTTGTAACACAAAATTACTCCGTAATGGTTGTCTTTTATCCAGTGAAAACAAAAAATTGACACATTAGAGTTCACATCACATAAAAAAGTCTCTAAAATATGTGTCAATATATGTAATTACAGCTATTCTAAAACAGAAAATAGTGGCTAGGGAAAACTGAACTGTCATTTTGAAATTTCTAATGTCACAAATCGAAATAGGAGAAAAGCTTAGAAAGTAATCAAAGTCCAGAGATGTTAGGTACAATACCATAATAAAGGAATGACACTGCTTACATTTATTGCAAAAATACTTTTCAGTACAAGGGACATTCATGTCTGAGTACTCTGTTGTAAAATCATCATACAAGTTGACTATCCACAGCAGAACACAACAATACACAGCAAATTGCAATTGTTTTCTCTTTGACTATAGTAAATAGCATATTTATAGACAGATTTGCAATTCAATGTCAACTTTCACATATGTCTTTGTGGTGTGGTTCTTAATTAAGGAGAGGGGCAACTTTTCCTCTTTATACCTACAGTCATAACACATTCAGTAGTGAAATAACTGTTAACAACATTAACCTATCTCTTTTTGGGGACTTGCTTGCTGTGGAAGATTTAGCAGCTTAGCTTCGAAAAAAACCTCTGGGAACCTCTTCTCTTGCAGCCAAACAATTACCTCGTGCCTTCTCCAGTTATGTTGAAGTTCTTCCAGAACATTGTCCATTACAGTAAGAAAAAGGTTCTTCTAAATTTCACAGAAGTGGTGTCAACACCCAACATCCAAAATTCTCCCCATTCATTGAATCATGAGTCCCCACACTTGGTACCTGGAACAGAAATTAAACTCACCCCAAAAACATTATATGCATAAAATATATTATCATGCCACAGAAATAATGCTTGATGTGATAAAAGTTCATTTAACAAAATATTTA